ATGTTTGTTTCTGAAGTCTTTTGACACCCGATGGCACTTTTGACACCCGACTTCCTTGCAAAAGAACAAGTCTTTTGACCACGACAGCAGCCATGCCCGTTTTGCTTTGTTAGTAAGGGCTTTTTCCCCAGGAAAACCTTTGTGGAATGATGCAGACTGATGTCCAGAGTCAAGGGATAGCTTGATGTTGGCTATGACATGGCTGTGACACTTAATTGGATGGGACCTGTTATTCTGGTTATAAATAATGGTGAATCTTTGGCAATACAACAGTCTCATAACATAAATGAGTCTTCGAACAGGTTTATTTTGTGCAGGTGCACAACAACTACTTTTTTCCCGCTTAAGAAACTGCTATGTTGGATGTCGTTTTAGGCAACAGCAAGAACAGTGTCAGATATTATTTGAGGGCCTTGGTGTCACATGTATTTTCTGCAATGCAGTGTTAAATGATATTTCTAGTGGAGTATTCTAGTTCTCTGATCAAAGTAAATATAGGAGCAAGACAAAAGTAGTGAGGAAGAAAACAGAAATAAGGATGAGTAAGAAAAACAGAAACTAAACAGAATATCATCATCATCATTAGCCTGACTACGTCAACTGCAGGACAAAGGCCTCTCCCATGTTTTGCCAATTAACCCGGTCCTGTGCTTGCTGCTGCCAATTTATACCCGCAAACTTCTTAATCTCGTCTGCCCACCTAACCTTCTGTCTCCCCCTAACCCGCTTCCCTTCTCTGGGAATCCAGTTAGTTACCCTTAATGACCAGCGGTTATCCTGTCTACGCGCTACATGCCCGGCCCATGTCCATTTCCTCTTCTTTATTTCAACTATGATATCCTTAACCCCCGTTGTCCCTAATCCACTCTGCTCTCTTCTTGTCTCTTAAGGTTACACCTACCATTTTCTTTCCATTGCTCGCTGCGTCGTCCTCAATTTAAGCTGAACCCTTTTTGTAAGTCTCCAGGTTTCTGCTCCGTAGCTAAGTACCGGCAAGATACAGCTGTTATATACCTTCCTCTTGAGGGATAGTGGCAATCTACCTGTCATAATTTGAGAGTGCTTGCCGAATGTACTCCACCCCATTCTTATCTTCTAGTTACTTCAATCTCGTGTTAGGCTCTGCGGTTATTACCTGCCCTAAGTAGACATAGTCTTTTACAACTTCAAGTGCACTATTACCTATCTCGAAGCGCTGCTCCTTTTCGAGGTTGTTGTACATTACTTTCGTTTTCTGCAGATTAATTTTAAGACCCACCTTTCGGCTCTCCTTGTCTAACTCCGTAATCATGAGTTGCGATTCGTCCCCTGAGTTACTCAGCAATGCAATGTCATCAGCGAAAGCGCAGGTTACTAAGGTATTCTCCATTAACTCTTATCCCTAACTGTTCCCATTCTAGGTTTCTGAAAACCTCCTGTAAGCACGCGCTAAATAGCATTTGGGAGATTGTGTCCCCCTGCCTTACACCCTTCTTGATTGGTATTCTGTTGCTTTCTTTATGAAGCACTATGGTAGCAGTTGATCCCCCGTAGATTTCTTCCAGAATGTTTATATATACTTCATCTACGCCCCTGATTCTGCAGTGTCTGCATGACGGCTGATATTTCTACTGAATCAAACGCCTTCTCGTAACCTATGAAGGCTATGTATAGTGGTTGGTTATACTCTGAGCATTTCGCTATTACCTGATTGATAGTATGAATGTGGTCAATTGTTGAGTAGCCTGTTCGAAATCCTGCTTGTTCCTTTGGTTGATTGAACTCTAATGTTTTCTTTACTCTGTTAGCAATTACCTTTGTAAATAGCTTGTACAAGCGATGCAGTTTTTTTGCTTCATCCCAGCCGTTGGTTTTTGCAACCCGCTCGAAGTGTTCTAACCAATCCTCCACATCCTCGAACGTGTCACCGTGGAAGGGCTCAGGCAAGCACGGTGGGGACAGAATAGGTTCCGATGATGTCACCTGGTAAGCCATCGTTCCTTTGTCTGTGGACGCTGCTTGTGTTGCTGGAGCACTGGGGAGGGGTGCGAATTCAGGCGGCTCTCCCCGGAGGCGGCGGCTTGAACGCTGGTGTACCGGAGTCAGTTCGCCAGGTTCCAATCGTTGAGGATCGGGGCTTCGCTCTCTTGCGCCAAGGGGGCTTCCAATCATACCCCGCACCTTCACCAGAATGTAACGGGTGCAAGAGAGGAAAAGTCAAAAACTAGTTTATTATGGGCGAACTTGTGTCCTGAAAATTATGTGCGAAAAGATAGAAGAGTCCGCTTGAGCGTTCCAAAAACAAAAACTGTTCCTCTGCCTACTCACCTTCTTCTTCGCAGCTCCAACCCACACTGGCTCGTGCCTGTGAACAAGAGGCATGAGTCGTGCGGCTCCAAGCAAGAGTGCGCAAGAGACTGTGGACGCTGATTTTTCATAATGTCAGATATTGTGAACAGTCTCTGTGGCAATATGATCACTTCTCTACCCCTTAATGTCAGTTCGCTAACAAATATGTGCAATTGTTGACAGCATGTTCATCTTTCAACACTGGCGATGTATGCAGTGGCGAAGACTGATTAGGCAGAATATATTGTGACAAAAAGTGCATTGCTGAAATGGATTGAGCATCAGGGCACTTTGGAAAAGCTGCATAGTGTTTGTCGTGACAAGAAATATTTTTTGGACTATAAATGGCCTACAATGTTGTGTAAACTAGAAGAGTTGGTGGACTTTTGTGCAGTTGGTGCAAGCATTACTCGAATATGCGCAACAAGGCACAGGAAGATCGCACTGTACCTGAATGGCACAATTGCAGCACCACTGTTTTTCCGATGTGATATAGTGGAAAACATTTTAGTTCAACATCACTAGCAACATGATTGACCAGAACGAATGTTATACAAAATATGTCCTCCCACCGTGAGGCAGTCCCTGGCTGCAATGCTGGCCGGGACTGGCTGACGCCGGATCCTCCGTGGGCTGGGCCTGCTCAGGGGGGCTCCACAGGCGCCTCATCTTGCCACTGCTCTTCCCCCTGGCCTCAAGCTTTCGCTTCTCAGTAACGTGCTCCTGGGAGACCTGCCGAGCATGGCTTCGCAGGAAATAGCGAGGCGGCTCGCATTCTGCATGAGCCTGGTTCACCGCTGGAGCCATGGCTGCTTGAGCGTTCACTGGGGCTGGGGGAGAGTCCTATACAGAATATAAAACTGTACAAACGAAGAATATAAAAACTGAATATAAAACTACAAATAAAGAGCAGTTGCATGCACGTTGGAGGCTTTCTATTTCCCATACGGGAAAAGATACTTTCTTGTTTTCAAGCAAACTGCATTGCAGCTCGTCCTGTAGAAATCTATTCACTCATGATTGTCATTCTGATGTCAATAGGAGCGTAATCTTTGACATACTCCTTGATTTTTAAAATTTTTTTTTTTTGAGCCAAGCAAACCTGTGAGGAATGGTGGCCGACAGCTTCACTAATTATGGCTTGGCTCTATGTTCTGCTTGTTCATCAATATCATGCAAGCAAAGATGCTAATGTATTGTGCGCCAGGCGCAATGCACGGCGCTTCGGGCCTGGTGCTCGAAGCGCCGGCTGGGGCGAAGAAGTGGCACGATTGAGACCAGCGTGGAAACTCCTTCTTCACTATTTACAGCACGCTATATGCATTGGTACAGCGCCACCTCGAGGGGGGGGGGCGAGGGGGTGCAGAGAATCTGTTCCCAAACTGGAACAGTTACCTATATACCACATCATCCCCCCCCCCCCCCCCCCCCTTGAATGAAAGAGAGTAAAACTCGACCTTCTACCCACTCCCTCTCTCACTGGAGCAGAGCTCCCTAAGCTGCGTAGCTGCTGTTGCTACAGAAGGGAGTGGAAGATTGGTTGCATGGTGTTCGTCTTGTCTTGTCGTGGCTGCTGCTGCTTGTCAAGGATGGAGACCAGCGCCTTTGGATACGTTGCGACAACTCGACTTTATGTACAGGACCTTATGTACAAATTTACAAGTATCTTCACCTTTAGGACTGTCGCATGTTGCCTCGGCAGAGCCGATAGTGCAGAGCACTGTGTGCAGCGACCAGAACCCCCGTGAGGAGTCAGCAGCCAGGTATTAACCCCTGGGTTGCCCCTCCCTGTTCTCCTCACGGTTAACCAAAACAATTCAGTCTATTTATTGGACAGACTAAACACACTTCTTGTCGTCCTCTTCTCTCTCTTGTTCAAGCATTTGAGCTCCTGGTCCGAGAGAGAGAGCCGAAAGTACTGGCTGACAAGAGACGTGCTGCGAACTGTGCGAATGCTCACGATGGTTGCGCCATTTCATTGCCCTGCTCATGTTACCCGGGTGCAGCTGGGTCGTAAGTGGGCCCATGCCATGACTGCAAGATGGTATACACTGTCCTGTGCGACAGCTGCCTCGCGGACTCTATTCAAGATGTATGGGTGTCAACACACCGGACGTCTTGCGACGGTGAATGACGTCTCGCAACGGAGAAACAAGATCACCTCGACTCTTACATTTAATTAAAGGGTTCAGCTCATCTGAGTGCACGGCTGCTATGCACTCTTCACAGGTAGTCGTAGTTTGAACTTTTCGAACAATGAAGCCTGCTATATATGGCATCATGGAACTGACAAAAGCAGAAAGGCTCTCGGGGCCAGTCAATGCGATTCGTATAGTCCTGGTCATCAGGCTGCAATGCTGATGCCCTGCACATGTCAGTAAGGTTTATTGTATCTATCATGGCTGCAGGAGTCGCTGCATTCAATACCAAGACAAAAGTTCTGTCTGAACCAATAGATGCTTGTATGCAGCCGTAAACTGCGTAGCTGTTGGGTTGTTGTTATGACCGCCTTGTCCAACGTATTGACCCAAAGAAGTTTTCGGCATGGTCTTGACTGAGTTAGTGTGTCAGCAAGTATTCCAGCTGACCCTGGCCGACAAGTTAGTCAAACATTCTTTCTGTGCTTGCCGTGCATATAAAAAAAACTAATGAATCCATTTTTTTTTTTTCAGTCCTTCTGTCATTGCACGTCCTGCCGGATGTCTCAACCTGTTTTATGTACGCTCGAGCCTCGGCGAAAAAACGACTACCAGCATGCTTCGTTCCCCTTCCGAAGGGGCACTTTGTATGACCTCACCAGCGTGTTTCTGGAGTTTAAAATGTCAAACAAGCGATCAAAAGTTGTAATAAACATACATATTGCGCTGGGACCCTTGAATTGTGGCAGCTTAAGCTCTTGTTCGCAGAAGTCTAAAGCATCGGCAACTGAGACACTCAGTGCTTGTATAGCATATTGTACTTTTATTTTTATTTTTCTATTGGACGTGGACCTTCGTAAGCTTGTTGCAAAGCCGCCACACTTCTTCACGTTGAAGTGCCACCAATACCACTACATAACCCCATTTCACATGCTTTCCTTCAATGTCAACGAGGTGGCTCACGGTTGCCAACGAATTGCGCACAAGCTTAATCATATGGCAGGCATCTAAAATAATGTGAACATTTTTAGCATTATCAGCTGGGTTGGCAAAGCTTGTAATAAAGTCAGAGTTTGGTTGAATCTGATCACGTGAACATCTAGCCATAGTAAAGTTTGACGAGGCCCCTTCAAACGTACGAGAGACAACTTCGGCCTGCACTGATGCAGTTTCTAGATCATTGTTTGGTCAGCTCTCCCTCTCTGTGCCAGTGAGTCAGTCAATTAAGAAATACGCAACTGGCATTTTCAGTCTGATGTTTACACCAACAATCATCAACAAACACTAATTTCAGCTTCGGGGAGGCTGTCATCAATCTAGGCCTATTCTAAAGTCCACATACCCGTTACTTTTTGCCGACAAGTTCTACATGTTTCCTTCGACGACCAATGAGCAGTACAAAGGTTCACTTCGCGATTGTGCAAATTTTTGAGGAAAAAAAATACTCAGCCATGAAGCCAGGAGCTCCATCGATTGATCGATACAAATCTCAAAGTGTGCACTGTGATGGAAGGGGACAATTGAATTTTGACCGACATACACGTTAGCAGCCGGAGAATAAAAATGTAACGTCAACACTTTTTGTCCTTCTTGTCTCTGTGTCGTTTTGTTCTCGCGCTATAACTTTAGTGGGCACTTGCTTTTTTGTTCGTTACTAGCCCTGCAGGGAAGCTGTTGAAGGTCGCTTGAAAAGGCAGATGTAAACACGTGCGAGCCTTCTGAGAGGAGTTTTCGCTCCCCGATTTTTTTTGATGATTTTTTTGCGCTGTCTCATTTCTCTTAGCAAGCATTTGCGTATTTTGCTGCAAAGTCTTGATTTTCTTCAAGTGTGTTGTCTCTTCTTCAGAGGCAGAGACTTTGTCCTTGCACCACTGTTTGGTCGATGAAAACGCAGGTGGTTCTTCAACGTCAGGCACTTTCGCAGATGAGGGGACAATTACTGGATGGGCTGTCTTGATGCTTGTGCTTTGGGGCTTTCTTTTTACGGTAATTTACCTAAGATAGTCGTAATATATTTTTTGTTGCATTATAAGTTAGAGGAAGAAAAGATAATAAACCACATGTACTTTATTTGCTACCACCAACTTATTAACACTGGGACTGCAAAACCCCTGAGTTTATCGCTTGAAGAAGCAACTTGTAGGCTCAGGTAGCTATCACACGTGAGCAGAGCGGACACGGCAGATACTTGCCTACTGGCAGACAAGACATCAAAATGCGCTTTAAATTCCGCTTGACTTATCATTTTTTTCAACAGTTTACGAAGTAGAAAAACAGCACTCATTATACGTGTTTTTTTTGGTGGACATACACAAGAACGGAACAAAATAGTGAAGACGAAAGCATTTCCATTCAATGTCTGACGAGTGGATTGGTTTACTCGATTCTGCCACTTGCTGCAGTCTAACACATCACGCGAGAAGGCCAAGCGTGCGTTTTGTGGTGTGATATTTTGTAATAGTACTCACGGGCTTCTGTGGATGCGGTGGAAACGCGAGAAACACATAAGAAACACTTTCCGCCCGCAGTAGCGTTGCTTGCTCATTGCGGTCAAAGCACTCTGGCGTGAAGTGCTCAGAGCATAGGCGATCTCCGTCTTTTGCATTCCACTTATCACGGCGAATGACTCGCTCTCATAGGCTCCACATTACAGGATCTTTAGGAAACCTGTAAAACAAATTCGGACTACTATTTTTCACACGTTTAGATCGCGTCAGTTAGCTCCCCTTCAGTATCGAGCGCGGAATGACTCAGTCGAATATGTTTTCATCTACTTACAGGTGGACTGTGAGGCCGCAACCTTTTTTCCACCTGTTGGCAAATCTGTAAGCGATGCAAGAGGCAACCATTGTAAACCATTGTTGTGTACATGCCGAGAAAGTGAAATAAGAACGAACAAAATCAGCAGCGCACGAATGGCGTGGATGGCGGCAGCCGGCTTTAATCACACAGCGCCCCTTCCACTCTAGTAAGTTCTATGCATCCTCCTTGGCCTCGTGGCAGTCCAAAACAAGAATTACGCAGAAAATACTGTATCGGTGAGGCGGTATCCAGTGTGCTGAGCACGGTAGCGCTAGTAGAAGAGTTCACATGCCCATCTTATGACAGATGGAAGCGGATTCGCTGCGTCGTCACCAGTTGTATTGTGCCTCGGACGTGACGCACGGAGAACCAAGGGGCCCGGTGCCCGGAGTGCTGGCCAGGGAGAAGGAGAATTGGCATGGCTGAGACCCGGGTGGAAACTCTCTTTTTACGATTTACCGCATGCTGTATACATTGTTACAGTGGAGTCGCACGTAGCCACTTCGCACAAGGCTTGTCGGAAACAGTTGCCCATTGCTCTAGCGGAAACACTTGTCCACGCGGCTTGCAGTATTTTAAAAGCCATGTATAGGTCCACCTTAGTTTCTCGCTGCAAAATCGTGTTCAGAAGCACACAATCAACCAGACATTTGCAGTAGCCTGTCTTAAAGGACATTATTATCAAGCAGCTGCATGAGGGTAGTACAGTTAGATGGCAAATACAAAAGTTCAATATTGCGAAGCTCAACAGTTGTGTGGTAGGGCCTGCAATTGTCTAGTATTAAGCACACCTTGTGGTTCTGCTTACGCAGTTGCTCGTCCCAATCCTGCAGCCATTCCGCAAAAATGTCTCTCATTATCCACGCTTAGCTGTTTGGGACATATCGCACTTTCAAATTTCGCTTCCCTTTGAAGCATCGAGGCGATTCGCTTTTCCCTATGTCGAACGCCGGCATCTTCTCCGAGTGATCCATTTTCGCGCAGAGCAGTGCAGGGATTCTTTGTTTGCTGTGCTTCCCGTCCTGGCACAGCTCAGCTTTGACGGCCAGAGTTTTATTAGGGAGCATTTGAATAAAAGAGCCCAGTCTCATGGGCATTAAAAATGGCCTTACGGGCTTATTTTTCTTTCACTGGGCCAAAACTTTCTGTCACCTATACTGCTGCAGACTGCATCAACGGAGCGAGACTCAGCCCCCTACTGTTCTTCCAACGATGTCATGTTTTTCCTTGAAGCGCTGTAGTCAGCCAGCACTAGCAACAAGATTGTCATGGCCTATTATGGAGGCAAAATCTAGCCTTTCTCTATGAAATTTTGCCACTTATTGTCATATTTGCCGCTCTGGTGTTTAGAAATGATTTGTAAACAGCATCTTCGACTGGCTTGAACGCTGCAGTTCGTAGGTTCTTGCGGCTGCCTTTCACACTGTGGGTAATGGCATTTGTGATCGCTTCACGGCTGACAAGAATGGTAGACAATGTGCTCACCGCAATGCCATGGTCTTGGGCCACCTGAGATCTTTTCGTCCTCGAGTCGGCAGCCTTTAGAATGGCTGCAATTTGCTCTAATGATAGTGTTTTTCGTTTGCACTTTCCCGAGCCTTTATTCATTGTGACAGGACCGTACACAGGCGACTGCAGTTAGCAGATATCTGTCCTCGAAGAGCACGGGCACTGTGCAAACGTGCTGACAATTATCGTGACTAACCGCGACTGAGCAGCCCACGCCTGGCACGAATAGGGGAGACCCGCTCAAGTTTGCCCGGCGACGCCAGCGCTTGCCTTTCCCCTGCCAGAAAAAGCGCACAACAGTAGAGTCTTCCGACCCTTCCGCTCCCTTTGGCTTCCACGCATTTGCGAAGCACGCGCTGCAAGTGAAACGTCCCCCGTTCCCCGATGTCACCCCAACAGAAAAGGGGGTGGCATCGCTGCGTCGTCAACTGTCACAATAGCCATGCAAACACAAAGAGGTCAACTCCACCAGTGAAATTCTACCGATTCCCAAACCGATGGTACGAAACAAGCAGACGACAGAAATGGATTAAAGCAGTGTGCCGAAAAAGTATGTAAACATATTTTTCATAAAAATTAGCATGCGCACAATGCATTCAAAATTACGGGTGTTAATTCCTGCGTCACAGTTCCTCTAATCTATCGAGTTACTGGGAGATGCACGTCCCCATCTTAAAAGTATAAATTTTCAACGCCCGTCTTTAGAGCACTGTTAAAAAAGAGCGAAGAAATATTTTATGCTGCTACTCATATTCGATATTGTTGGGGATGTAGTAGTTGAAGCTGTGTGCACATGTGGTATTGGTAATGTGTTGTTATATATTTTTAAATCTACGCAGCGCTGACGGAAGTGTGTGGTTGCCGAAAGCTTGGACAACTATGAAAAAAAGAAAAAAATGTATTAGCCGTTGTTGCACGTCCGTTGGCACATACAGTTAACTAGTTGTTACTAAGTGTGCAGGGGTAGCCCGAACAACACGGTGCATTTTTGATACGTGACCAAGATAAAACGCCTTTATAGCAATGTGCTCTTCCCCTGCAGATTAGACACACACAAAAAAGTTTCTCTGAAAGCTGGGCGCTCATCATGATGGTACGCACGCTGTTCGTGAACTCAAGGCACCCGCGATGAGAACGGTGATAATGCAAGGAAAGACACGCGAGATAGATGTCAATTGTTGTTGTGGGTCAGAAAGAAGCCCCAAATAGACCATTTATTTTTGAAGTGTTGTGTATACACCGCACGATAACTTGGGTGGGTGCTAGTAAATTAAGGTTTCTCAACTAATAGTAGTCACAGCGCAAGAACCGCTTAACCTAAAGCACCAGAAGCGGCCTTACACATGCATCCAAGAACAAACATAGTGCATATTACACAGAGTAAACCAAATAAAACAGGTATATAATTATGAACGTACAGAAAGT